AAAAGAAAGAAAAGAAAAGAAAAGAAAAGGAGGCTTGCCCTTCACTTGCCCTTGTCCTTCCGAGTTTAAGCCATTTCCTAATCAGTGAGATATCATGACATACCCATAAGAATGGTCAACACCCTGAACACTGACAACACTGAATGGTTTTGTCTGGTGAGAATGTGAATGGAGCAAAAGGAAAACTCATTCAATGCTGGTGGGAATAAAAACGGTATAGCCACTCTGGGACAGTTTGGCGGTTCCTCATAAAACCAAACACACAGTCACCATGCAATCCAGCAATTGTACTCTTTGCTATTTACCCCAAAGAGTCGAATACTTAAATCTACGTGAAAACTGTATATGGATATTTATAGCAGCTTTCTTCATAATTGCACGAAGTTGGAAGCAGCCAAGATGTCCCTCAATAGGTGAATAAATTACACAGAGGTGGTATATCTGGAGCCAATCTGAAGGGCTACACACTATATGTTTCCAACTCTATGACATTCTGTAAAAAGCAAAACCATGGAGACAGTGAAAAGATCAGTGGTTGCCAGGGGTTGGGGGTGGAGGAAAGGAGGAATGGGGGAGCACGGAGGTCTTCTAGGGCAGTGAAATCATTCGGTGTGATACTATAATGGTGGCCACGTGCCATTACGTATCTGCACAAACCCATAGACTGCACATCTAGCATAGGCCTTACTGTAATCTATGGACTTCGGGCATAAGGATGTCAGCGCTGGTTCACCGACTGTAACACACGTACCACCCACGAGGGGGATGTTGGTGGTGGGGAGGCTGCGCATGCATGGAGGGGGGAACAAGAGGATTCCTGTATCTTCTGCTCAGTTTGGTTGTGAACCTAGAACTTCTCTAGCTTCTGTGCTTTCTCTTTCTATTCTGCCACATTGCAGTTTCCTAACTATTGTCACAGAGAACAATTTTCTCACTTCAACGATTATTTTTAATAGCATTTCTTTCTGATGACAAATATAGCACGCATCAAGTTTGGAAAATAAAAAAGGAAGAGGCAGAGGGAAAAAAAAAATCCAAACTTCAAAAAACCCCATCCTGAATTGCTCTGCCAGTGCTATCAGTCACTCTGTGGACAGCCGCAGGGACTGTTCTGCTAACACAGTGAAACACCCTGCACCACCCTGTCAACATCGTATTTCCCCATCACAGACAACTTCACGAGCATTATTATTTGGGTAAACAGTTCACGTATGGCTTTACTATCGTTGGGTTAATTCTTTAGCATTCAGGTGGTGATGCTTAGGATAGTTTCAGTTTCATATGATTGTGATTAATGCGATAGACACCTTGTGGTTAAAGTTCTGCTAAAATTTAGAATTACCACCTAGACTTGGTATTACAGTGTTGAAGGATATGGATGTTTTGGTGATTTTTATTTATTGCAAGATTGCTTTTCAGAAATTTTGTATCTACTTACACTCAGAAGCTACATGTGAGGACTTCTGTCTTTCTGATGTTGGTAATTAACGTACTTAAAAAAATAACTTGCTAATTTGGTAAAAGTGGGAACAGGAATGGCATCTCATTGATTTAATGAACATTTCAATTTTTTTCTGGTAAGACTGAACTTTTAGAACCTATTTATTTATTTGTTTTCAGATTTTTGCCATAGGGCACATTCACTTATCAGAGACAGAGAGAGGGAAAGTGAGAAGTCACCCCCTCAGGGGATAGTCACACTGCAATCTTTTGACCTCCATTCTCCTCTTGGGATTTTGGGCACACATGCACACATACCTGGTGTGATTTCCAAGCCAGGTCTGGGACCCGAACCGTGGTCTGCCATGTAGGAATCCAGTGCCCTACCCACCATACTACCTGCTGGCCCCTAAAACTTATTTATGATTATATGAATATCCAATTGTGTAAATTGTCCATTTGTGCCATTTGTCTATTTACATGTTTTTCTTATGAATATGTAAGAGTTCTCTCTTATTTTCAAAAACATCTCCCCCCGTTTCTTACCATTGAATTTTTAATTCTCAAACTTATTTCCAAAACAGAAATAATAGCTTTTTCTTCCCTGATAATTAAAATAATAGGCTAACATAGTGGGGAAAAAAGTATATATTATACTAGAGAAAATCATAATGACGAAAGTGAAAATTGTCTACATCTTACCCTTTGGACATGTACTAACACTTCTGGAGCATTTCCTTCCAAACTTCTATATTATATGCCAATGGCACTTTTTGAAGTTCAAAAATTTTAACATCTGTACCTCAAAACTAGCATTTAAAAATTGCAACGATCCTCCAAGGCTTTTGTGTTTAGAGAAGTCTTTCCAATATAGGGACTGGATAAAGAATCACTTCTTTAGAACTAAAGCTATGGTTCTTTTTATGAAGGCAATATATCATCTTATAGAATATTTAAGAACTGAAGGGGACAATCAGCCATAATGCCTTGACCCTAATACATCTACTTCTTAGTGTATTGTTCTTTCTAGTCTTTGATCATAAGCATTTAATTCATTTTTATGTGGTCGAAGGATCCTCTTCACTCACAATTAAGCTGTAAGCATTATTGTCATAGTGCCTCATAATCTCTGTAATGGTTGTTTTGAATGTCCCTAATGGCCCCTCCTGTCGCTGTGCTGTCATAGCTGACCCTATCTCGATGATGAATATTTCAGTTGTTTCCATTTTTTCTGTCCAGTGATATTTGGAAGCACCAAAGTCCAGTGAGGCAGAATATGCCACTGTCCCTTGGGGGCTGACTGTAATACGATGTGACTTCTGCTCGTTCTCTCAGAGATATGGTGGGAGAAATCGCTTTAAGAGAATGGTTAGAGAAATGCAAAACATAAAATCAGGAGGAAAGACATCATAAGGGGAAAGTATGTTGAGCTTTCAGGAGAATACTGCTGTAAACCCAGACTGTTTGGATTTTGTTTTTGTGAGTCACAAACTGCAGATGAGCTTATAATAATAATTTTGATGAAATGCTTTCCATTCATGCAGTGCTTAGTGCTTTTGAGGGCTTTAGTGCAGGAAGGCCTGGGGCTGGACCTCTGCTCATAATGTGTGTGTTTTTTTTTTTCTTAAAGTCTATTTATTTTACTTTTGATCTTAGTCCAAAGGCTGAGAAGTAATTAGAGTATATTTATTTAATTCATAGTAAGCGTGTGCGCATGAGAGACAAAGAGAGAGAGGCACCTTGACAGGATATTTTGGGTACATATGCATGCACCTGGCATGTTTTCAAGCCTACCTGGGGATCCAAACCTGAAGTCAGCCTCATGCCTTCCAACACTGCAGTTCATTTTGCTACTGACTGTGCAGCAGAGCTGGGCCCATTTGCTATTTGTGTGACTTTCAGCAGTGACACAGCTGCTGAGGCTCAGTCTATCTTCCTGCAGAATAAGACTAATGAAGATCAGAAGTAAGGACTGACTGAGATCCTGGCCTTCTGGTGGATGAACGGAGAATTAACAACCAGGAGTAGCAAGAAGCAGTGCAGGAAGGAGTGCCTTCTGGGGAAGACAGGGCAGCCTGGGTTGAACATTTTATTCTGAGCCTCAATTTCCCTTTTGTACAAGGCACGTGGTGTGTGGTCTACAAGAGAGTCCTTCCCCCCCCCCCTTTTTTTTTTTTTTTTGAGAGGTTTTCCCTATAGGGCGCAGGTGATCACCGGACAGACAGAGAGAGATAGAAAGCAAGAAATCACCCCGGGGGGGGGGGGGGGGGCCACGCCGCAATCCCTTCTCCTCCAATCTCCTCTCGGGATCTTGGGTACGCACGCACACGTGCCCGGAGTGAGTTTTAAGCCACCGGGTCCGGGATGCGAACCACGGTCGACTACGTGGGAGTCCAGCGACATAGCCATTACGCTAACTGCTGGTCTCGAGAGTCTTTCCTGTCCCCAGTCTGCTCCTCTGACTGCTGTGGGGATCCGGCAGGTACTAGACATGGCCAGGCCTCCTCAGCAGGACTTACGTCTCTCTTCAACTCAGCCCACAGTTCCTGAGAAATCTCCAAGGCTAGGCAGCCTTCACAGCCCTGTGACATGTTTTGGGGGCGGGTATCAATACATACTTATTAATGTAGAAAAGTGTCATTAGTCTGTTGATAAAGCCGGTTAACAATGGACCTTATCTCTTCTCTGAATAATCATTAATCACTTTCCTTTCTGCACGGAATAGGAGAAGACACACAGGGTATGTGTACGTAGAGTGGAGAGAGATCTTAGTATCTTGTTTGGAAAATGCAAGTGATAATTGTACCCACCTCATAGGGCTGTCTTGGAGAATGAACAAGATCTGCCCGACACTTTGCACATAGTAAGGTCGGGTTGCTGTTATGACCATTATCAGTAATCATCATTACTGGCAGACAGAGCGTCTAACTGGCTTCGGACAAGGTGCCGAAGGCTAAACTGTGGAGCCGTTCCGGAGGCGTCCTGAGAATCCAGGTGGAGACCCCAACGGCGACAGACCGGGAGAAGGCGGAGCGTTGGGCACTGGGCTAGAGGTGAGTCTGAGAAGGAAAGGGGGTTCCTGCCCGGCTATCGGAGCTCCTCGACTTCACGCACCAACCACCGCACTTTGTCCTGGATTTTCGCAAGCACCTCTTTCCTTCACCTGGTATCTTTCCCTGGGTTGCAAAAGGTGTCTGCTTGGTAGAAGGACCAAGGCGCCAGGTTCGTGGTGGCGCAGAACCCAGGACGGCGGTATTAGTCCCCGCCCCCGGTGGCACAGTCGGAGCGACTAGAGAGTCCGGCTCGCCGCAGTCCGAGGCACCCGCGCGCGCTACTCCCTCCTTCCTGGCGGTGCGGTTCCGGCGCCGGGAGTGGCCCTTTAAAAGGCCCTGTCTGGTCCGGAGGGGGCGGGCAGGGGGCGCTGACCGCGGACTAAGGCCCGGCCCCTCCTACTCCGCCTCCGTCTGTCCCTCCCTCGGTCCCCGCGTCGCTTGCTAGCTAGCTCGCCGGGCGCACGCTCCGCCTCCATCAGTCTGCTCCGCTGTCTAGTGCGCGGCGTGGAGCCGGAGCCGGAGCCGGGGCCGGACGCGCGGCGAGGGCTGGGGGCTGGGAGCGCGGCGTTCCGGGCCTTCGCGGGCAACATCGCCGCCGCCGCCGGGCCAGGCCTACGCCGCGATGGCTGAGATGGGCAGCAAGGGGGTGACGGCGGGGAAGATCGCCAGCAACGTGCAGAAGAAGCTCACCCGCGCGCAGGAGAAGGTATGAGCGAGCCTCAGCCCCCGCCGCCGCGCCGTCCCGGCCACCTGTCCCCCTAATTCCCGCCCCTCACCCGAGATCGGGCGCTGTCACCTCCGGAAGACCGCTGCCTAGGCAGTCGGGGGTCCCCAGGCTGCGCCCCTCGGGGCTCCGAGCGCCCTCTTCGGTTCGCGTCCTCTGCCACCCCACCCCCGGCCGGGGCAGGAGAGAGCGCAGCTGGCCCCTCGTCCCTGTCGTCCCGCCGCTTTGTACCTTCGCCGCTGGTCTGCAGGGAAGCGGCGGCCCACGTTCCGGGCCCTAATCCCAGCGCGCGGTCCAGGCTAACACCGCCCTGGAGGCGGCTGGGAGGCTGAGAGGCGAGGTGGCGACCCCCAGCTCTCCAGGCCTTCACAGGCAGTCGCTGGCGCTGGGAGAGGGAGGAAGCTTGTCCCTCCGACCCTAGGGCCATCATACCTCGGACTCCCGAGGCGGCTTTCCAGTCCGCAGTTGCCCGCGCCTGCGGCGCCCTTCTTCCCGCCGCCTCTCCACCTCTGTTCCCCGCCAGCCGGAGGAGGAATCGGCTTTCCTTTCCGAAGAGGTGCCTGCGGCCTGGAATCTGCGTCCCGGCCCGCCAGGAGCAGGGGGCTGCGCGCCCCTCCGGGAGCACCCTCTCCTGATACCCGGCTTCGCGTTTCCGGCGGCGGGGAGGGGGTGGCGACACAGGCTGTGGGAGTCCACCGCCAGGTTGGAGAGCTGGCCTGGAATCGAGGCGTGGAGGGCGCCGCAGGAAACCCGACCCCTTCACGCTGGGAGCGACTCCGGGCTGGGGGTCGGGGGGGGGGATAGAGCCGGGGTTTCCCCGAATACCCTGATTGTGCAGGAAATGCAAGGATTGAGTAGGAGGGTGGGTCTTCGCCCGGTCAGTTTTCGATCCCAAGCCACCTCCAGTTTATTGAATTGGATCACGCCAGCTGCTGACGCCACTTCCCCCTGTCGACTCCGCTCCGAAATCTGAGATTGCAGAATCTGTGTTTTTGCCAGGGTGGCCCCCCGGTGCTTCGCGGCGGGTGGGGACCCGGGACTGGTTGGCCTTCTCCTACTAGGCCTTGTGGCTGTTTATAAACAATGACTTTTGCAGCTGAGACCTGCGGGCTCCCTAAGGATGCAGCCACGTGATGGGGTGGTGGTGGTGGCTAGAGCTTCCCCTGCTCCTCCCTTGGTGTCTTAACCGATCATCCGTGTGGTTCCTGGCTAAGTAGGTGGGTGGTGTGCATGGAGCAAACGGCCCTCAGCCAAGCTCCAGAGCTGGCCGGACCCAGCTCCTGCACTCCTCACCCTAGGGGAGGAGGAGTGGATTAGAGCCCCAGGAATAGCTGACTGGGGGCTGGGAAGACTTCAATCACCTAAGTTGGGAGGGTGGAGTGGCAGTGCAGTGGCAGCTACCCTGGCTTCCCCGCCTTCCCACAGGACCGGGTAATCCGTGGAGGTGCCTGGAGCAGGGCAGCCCTGCGCCTGAGCCTACTTCCTGCTCCCAGGGGACAGAGGGAGATGAATGGAAAGCTTACAGTGAGCCAGACGGTGCCCTGCCCCCACTCCACTGAGGTCCAGATTCCTCTGACTCCCCACTGCTCTCCGTGTGTCCCCTTTGCCCTGGATGCCTTTCTTCTGCTGCAGCATCTTTGACGTAGTTCTAGGGCAGCAGGCACTGGCTGCGTCCCCTCCCTGTAAGTGATGTATCACTGACCCACTGAGCTGCCACCCCTCCCTCTTCAGTCCCTGTCCTGTGGCCATGGGCAGTTGGTTGACAGCTGGTCAGCCATGGAGGCTGGCCTTGGCCAGCAGCTGGTCCTGCTGGAGCCTGGGCTTCATGAGAGCGGATCTGCTTAGTGCTGCAGCTGCTTTCTGCCCCTTGGGCGCTGGCAAGGGACCCTCCCCCATCAAAGGCCCAGGCGGCATGGCAGCCATTCTGGCTGAGAGTCTGAAAGTAGCCTTCCTTCCATCCTCTCCTTTCCTCCACCCCCAGGAAGCCCTATGCCTCAACCCACACCAGCCTCTATTTGCCTTCCTGCATCTCAGCGTCTGCAGCACAGCCTGCTGCTTCCTGGGCATCTTCCGGAGGTGTTTAGTGCTACGCCTAACTCCCATTGCTAATGGACCCAATCCTAGTGTCTTACAAGGAGCCGTGCCACAGAAGCCAACTTGCATGGGTCAAATCAATGAGTAATGGGGCAGTTCCGATTTCCTTGTTCCCTTAGTGGACATTTGTTTTCTAAGGACAGCAGGAGCTACCATGGAAGGCGTAGTATTTGAGTAGAAAGACCCACTTCTTTCGTTTTCTAATCTTTCTCCTTCAGTGTTCCCATATCCCCTGAGCCCAAACATTCATTGAGACTCGGAGGGTGATAGTGTTGTTCCTTTAGTGAGCATCTGCAACCAGCCCTCTGGTGTCTCGCGGGAGCTTCTTTCGGGGGGGGGTCATTGAGCTGGTTCCCCTGGGTGTCCCTCCATAGGTCCTAGGCTGTTACCCATGAACCCATCTGCTTCCTCTGCTGGTCTGGGCACTCCCTAAGGGCAGTGCAGACCCATATGTGTGTACCTCAGGCATGTCCCTGACCCCAGTAGGTGCTCAATGAATGTTACGAACTAACAGGCATTTGGGGACTTGGTTGGGAGTTCTGACGCAGGCAGGTGCCTGTGCTCTGGCCACATGGAGCTTGCTCTTGTAAGATCCTGCAGGCTATGGCCCTGCTGTGAGGGCCAGTTAGACAGGTCACCTGGGCCTGCTGGTACACAGCACTGCTGCTTGCTCCCCAGCCATCGCCAGAGTGTCTGTGATGCCGAGGATATGCTGTAGCTCAGGCCTGTGGGTGCCGTGAGGTCATCTTCCCATTGCGTTTGGCTTGCTGGACCCTCTATAAATGACCATGTCCATTTTTGGGCCTCAGAAGGTTGGCTGGACAAGGCCAATTTAGGGTGGAGCTCGAGTCAGATGACAGTTAGGATTAGAGGTTGGCAGGCTGGGCCCTGGGGATGGGGTGGCTGGGGCGAAGGACAGCTGGCCTGCTGGCCCCTGAAGATCCACTGCGCAAGAGTCCTCCTGGAGCATGCCTGAGGGAGGCTGGGATGGTGATGTGCACGGAGTGGGACTGTGTACTCCGTTTGTCCCTGGTCATGTGGGGATGGGTGCAGATTGGACGGTGGAAAGGGCCAGCTGGGAGAGAAGGCCCAGGGCTGTCAGCGCAGACAGCCTAGCCTGGTCTGCTGAGCAGATGCTCACTAAAGGAAGGTGTGGTGACAGTTATTTATAGGACCCTGACATGGCCATTAATTGCACTGTGCTCATCTGTGTAGTCAAGGCCTCCTCGAGCAGCAGCCATGTAGCCCCTACAGTAGCAGCCAGGCCTATACACCAAACCTCGTGCTCCCAGCAACCCTAGGAAGAGCCATGCTATACCCAAGAGTGGTGTGCATGGCCCCTTCAACATTGGAGCAACTAGGGTACTAACAACCCAGGGTCACGGAGCCCTCAGTGTGGAGCTACGAGCTCTCCCAGAGGCCCTGGGCTCCTCCCATCTTGGCCACTAATTCTGCACGTGCTACCCTGCCCCCTTTCCAGGCTCCCGTCCAAAGCTCCTGCCCTCCACCCATGTTTCTGTCTCTCCCCATCTTGGCATCTGTCTCTGTCCTTCCCCTCCCACCCCCATGACGTCTTTTTCCTTTTCTCTCTGTCTTACTCTGTCTCTCCCTGCTCTGGGCCTCTTCCCTCTGAACTTACAGGGGCTCTTTTTGTACCTCTAGTCAGTTAGCTTCTCCCTGTACCCGAGTTGTTTATGCAGATAGTTCCTTTGCCCAGGGGGTGATGGGGTGGGCATTTGGCTGAAGCACGTGGGCACGGAGAAGTTAGAGGGCAGGGTTCCCTGAGCCCCCAAGGGCCTGGCGGGCTCAGTATAGTCTGCTGGCTCATGACAGGTCTTAGACCAGGTAAGGAGGCCAGTGGACGGGGTGCTTGCTGGCTGCATGGGCTCAGAGAAGGAGAAAGTTCCAGGAGGCCCAGGAAGGGCCAAGGTACACAGGTGGGAGTGAGAATATCCAGGAGGCCAGCTGGCCAAAGAGAAGGGGTCGCTGGGTGGGAAGCAGCAGGGATGGCACATTGGGGCCAGATCTGACCAAGTCTTGAATACTGGGGAAATCTATATGTTGCAGGATTCTCAGAGAAGCTGAGGCTTGAACTCTGCTCCCCTCCTACACAGATCTTCCCATTAAGGCTCCCTTCTCCCCTTTGCTCTCTGGTATCTGGCCAAGTCTTTGCCTCTGACCTAGGTGGTCTTGGCCAAGCTTGTCCCTTAGGACCTGTGTGACCAGGACAAAGTCCCTCCTTCCCTGTTTCATAAGATGCTAGAAAATCCGAGTTCTATCCTCCGCGTTCAGCCTTCTGACCTGCACAGTGCAATGGCAGGGACAGCAGGGAACATGCAGGTCTTGGGCAAGTTGCAGGAGCCCAGTCTCTTCCTGTACAAAGCGAGGGTAGAAATGGTTCCTCTTCAATGTGTTCTGGAAGAAAAGCCTTTGACAGTGGCCTGGCACATCTCCAATGCTCATTAAATGCCAGCTCTGTGGACAAACCCACAGGGAGCCCTCCCCACACAGCCTTCTTTTCAACCTCATCACTGGAGTGTCCATTGCAGGCCTCTGTAGACAGCTAATCCCTGCTGAGCCCTGAGCTGATCAGGGTTTATGATGTGGTTACGGTTTGGGGGCAGTGAGTGTGTACGTGCATGTGTGTGCGTGAGTATGTGGTGTTTAGAGGGGTGGCCTGTGGCAGGTGGAGCACTTGGACTCAGATCAGACTGCTTTGGGGTGAATCTGGACTCCTACACAAGAACGTTGTGACCTTGGCTACCTTTTCGCTCCTCCCTTGGCTATACTTTTCACCATGGTAAATGATGAGGGGGTTTGCTTATTCATTCACTTATTTTTAAAGTATTTAAAATACTTTTCATTTCTTCCATGAAAGAAAGATAGAG